GATGAATTTTCTACGAATTTTCTAAAAACCATGTCGGAAAAGCCAAAAACTAGAAAAATGTGTATTTTCATAAAAACCAAACCAAAAATGATATTTTTGACAAAAATGGGTTTAAAATGTTATTTTTACCACAAAGTAGTCATCAACACAAGTTTTTAACAAAATTGGAGATTAAAGTGTTATTCTTACAAAAATTGGGCTTTAACTAAAAATTTGGTGACTTATTGGGCCAAGAATGTCATTTTTACAAAAAGTGGGCTTTAGATATCAATTATGTAAATAATCAAGCTAAAATAAACAAAACAATAACAAACGGGTTAAAAATGATTTTCATATCTTTATTGGGCCTGGAAATAATATACATGTTTAGTGAGCCTTAGCATCCTTTTACATGTATATTGGGCTCGTGATAGGTATTCATATCCTTATTGGGCCTGGAAATAATATACATGTTTAGTGGGCCTTAGTGTCCTTTTACATGTATATTGGGCTTAGGATAGACATTCACATTCCGTTTGAGCCTGGAAATAATAGACACGTTTAGTGGGCCTTAGTGGTCCACTTACATGTTTATTGGGCTTGAGAATGGGTTTTATATGCATTCTTCTTTTTTATGATATTTTAGTAAATACTTGAGCCAGAACTAATGATAAACCAACAAATGGATTTAATTTGATCATTTTCTAGGTTATTGGGTCTTAGTGGCCCATTTTTTATGTGTGAGAGGTCATGTATATGTTTATTGGGCCTCATTCACCCATTAACATGTGCGATGGACCTTGGATACTATTTGCTTGCCATTTGGGCCTGTAAATACTTTACATGTGAAATGGGCCTTTCATATATATTTCATATATATATTTCGGGCCCATGTTATATAATCTCATTCCAAGTGGGTCTTGAAGTGATTTACATGTTTAGCGATGCCTTAGTGGTTCACTTACATGGATCATTGCCCCTGGAATGAGTTTATACCTTTTTCTTCGCGTAAATTCGATTAAGGATCTAGTGAGTTTTTGTCGGTTGGCACCTATTAAGTGTACAATTGTAGCCTATAGTTATAACCAGAGTATCTTGTAGGGAGAACGGGGATTTGTGTATAGATTTATACAGGGATGACACCCTACACCTCAGCTATTCGCTACAGTTAGACTAACTCAGTCTAGGGTGACAAAAACCATATAATCAAAGTCAAAACCGGCGTCCAACAATGCCAAGATAGGTGAAATTGTCATTATTTAGTATGGTTATGACGGCTCGCTTAGAGGAATTAACGTTATGAAGTTTACGGAAGACCGTTTTTTTTACAGGTAGCATCGGGTTCTCTGGGAACATTCTCTTTACATGCTCTTACATTCTCTTTACCTTTTTAGTCAAATAAACAATAACATACATGAATTAATACAAGATCTAACACAAAAACACTAAACAGTTTTCAGAAAATATCGGATTTTCTGGTGGTTTTCAAAGTTATACAAATCATTTTCACAAACATGCTTATGAACTCACCAACATTTTTATGTTGACCGTTTTCAAAATAACTTGTATTCTCAAGAAACTGTTGAAGCAGGATGAAATACAAAACTAATGGATATTGTGTTATATTTTGTTTCATCATACTCTTACTATTTTGGCATGTAATATTCAAGTACAATACTCAATGTTAACAATGAATGTTGTTATATTACATGTGTGATGATGATGATGTTACGTTTCAATTATATTCACTGTAATGATATTTCAAGATGAAGTCACACACAAGCCCCCAGACGTTTCCGCCGTCTGGTTCGGGGTGTGACAAGAATGGAGTGTTATATCAAATAAAGAAACCAAAGAAGTGTTGCTCAAGTCAAAAAGAAAAGGAGATATGTCCACTCTTGATATGAAGCCAATTGTTGGTGTTCCCTCGGTATGCTTACTCTCGAAGGCGTCGTCTGATCTAAGTTGATTATGGCATTGTATAATTTCTTACTTAAATTTCAAAGACTTAAACAAATTAGTGTTAAATGATATTGTTATAGGCTAATCCATTTTAAATTTTGATAATGATTCATTATGTTCAGCTTGCTAACAAGGGAAGCAACATCGTCAAGATCATCCGATAATCATCGATTCGAAGATTATTGAACCTTTCGAATTACTTCACACTGACCTTTGTGGCCCTTCGACTGTTCAGACTCTCAACAAGAAAAGTTACATATTATTCATTATTGATGATTTTCAAGGTACATATTGGCCCTTTGTGTAGCCTACTATCAAACTCTTTTGATGGAACTTGCTTTTCAACTTTATGGAAAGGCTATATTTGCATTAGTCACTGAGCTACCTTACTCTTCTCATATCGAGTTGTGAGTTTCCTGCTTGGTCCACATATAGCAGAGGTACAATTCATTTCTAGACCACTCTTTTTCACCATAATGTTCTTTCAAGATCACACATAATGACATATACCCAAGAGATCTCTAGTTCAAACCAACTAGGATTTAGGTATATAACAAGTATGTTTTAATGATCCTGATTCTTGAGACCGTGATGATAGTGAAACCTGCACTTTCTAAACATTTAAGGAATTGATGTTGAACTGTATGTTAATGATTTTAATGAAACACTTGTTTATGATAGTCAAAATGATATTCCTTCATTATGAGTGATCATGATCAAATGTTCTTCACTCAAGACATTTTTTATCCAACAAGCTACAACATTTTATTTTTCATGGAATATTGTTTCTATCTGAATATCACTTTGCTTCTGTGTCACTTACAATATTCTCAAATCTTAACTTGTCACTAACTATACTTGTGACACAAGTAATTTTTCTTATTGCACTCACACTTTGTATTATGTTATGATCATGAACAAAGTTGAGCCAACCTTTGAAGCCTTAATAAAAGAATCCCTTCAATACTCCTTTATGAGTATTCAATTGTAATTCATAGGAAATCACAAAATCTTTTCGACATCTCTCTTGATGTAGAACAAAGTGATCATTTCTCCAGATCTTACTACTTTAATGTTGACTATTTCATTGACATCACAAAAACAAATTTCTTTTAATCCGTTCCCATCTGATTCTTTGGAACACTTTTGCATACAATGAAATCCTTGAGGTTCTGAGTAATACCAACTCAGGTTGATGATTTTGAACAATTTGGTAGATGACTTCAATTCTAAACCAAAAAGTGAATGAGCCCAACCTCCATGCCGAAGGTTTATTGACAGTTCTTATCCCCATGGGGAAATTGAAACAACGATTTGATATGACGGTATGGTTACTTCACTGTTTTAACTGGTCCGATTTTCATGGAAATACCTGGCATGATTTTAATGAATAACCGCTTCAAATTCAATCTTTGGGTTTATAAATAAAAGAGTTTTAGGGTCATCTCATTCAAACTTTACGTGATCAGACTCAGAATTTTCCTCAATTCTCTTTCCTTCTATTTCTTATTCTCTCATAGCTTCAAACCCTAACAATTGCATCCATAAATTTCAATGTTGATCCCTCTCAAACTACTGATAATGTAACATCTTAACCTTTATTAAAGATCCAGAGTAGCAATTATCCAGTTCAACCAGAGGCTTCTAAGTACCCATAAGAATTAAATATGTTACGTCATTTCCTTAAATCACTTGGTGTTGTCTACGGTGATGTCTTCTGCCTTTTCTGTACCGATGACCTGGTTATCACTGGCACGATCCACAACTGTGTTTAACAAAACAAAAAAGGATTTTACTTTTCAACTCTCTAACGAAAATAAATATAAACTGAAAAAAGATGCAATTTGCTCAAATATTGAATATTCCTAATGTTGAACCTTTTTATGAGGTTGCGAATGAACAAACCGTTCATATGTTCAATGAGATGGGACATCAACCCCCACTGACTAAGATCATCGATTACAAGAAATCTTCCTTACCATGCGTCTGGAATTTTCTATTAGGCATTTTTCTTTGATGATTGATAGGTTGAAGTGATGAATTGGATAAAGAAAAGCTAGAGGTATATGCAATGGTTGCTGGTTTGTACTATGATCTTCAAGTGGACTATGCAATTCAACTATGGCAAGAGTTTGGTAACTATATTGACCACACTAGTGTTGTGAATGGTGTCTCTTGTGCCAGATATTGGAGTTTGCTCTTACGATATGTTTATGAAAAAGAGGAAATCATGGTTCCAAATAATGTTCCCAAAGCATAATTTGTCTTGTATCAACATGCCAAGATGGTGGAAGATGATTCAGAGGTACTTCCTAATGTAGCAAGGATCCTTGATGCTATGCTTTGTAAAGTCGATCCAGTAGAACCAATTCTTGTGTCTTATCTTCAAAACATCAATCTTTCTATCGATACTCGCAAAGGGAATAACCAGTAGTTCAAAACATGGCAAGAATCTAAAGAAGGCTACCAGTAGTTCAAAACATTTGAAACCATTGGTATTGATACTTCTACTCTGCTACCACCATTGGTTTCAATAAATCCCACATCTTTACCTGCTTCAACTATATCACCTACTTTCTCGAATATCATGGATCAACCTATCACATATTTATTTTTTTCACAATCCATTGATCGTCGAAAGTCTACCACGGATAGTGGTCAGGATGATGGTGGTTATATGCTTTCTTTTGCTGACATACACTTTGATCATGAGGAGGAAAACATTCCTGATAACATGCTTATGTCTGGTAAGAAGCTCAAAATCCTCAATCGAAAGCCCAATTCTTTGTTACAACTTCAAGCTGATGTTGGTAATAGAGATCGTGTATCTGGGATTGGGTTTGATGTCATGATCAAATCTTAGGAACTTCTTATAAAAGCCTTGATGGAACAGTATGATAAGAAAACTGAAAAAATATTTAAAGCAACAATCAGATTCTTTTGTTCATGAGGTGAGGGATTTAAGGGCGGTTGCAAAAGAAAAACATATTTTATTTGTTGAAGTGTTCAAATGAGTAGAGGAGATTGTGAATTTGAGAATTGAATAAATTCGTTTCGAAATGGCGAAGAAGGTTGTCAAGCTTGATAACGATTACTCCACTCTTAACATGATGGCGGTTACTATTGTTGCTCCTATTACAAAACTTTTTGAACTTCATAATTCTCTTCTCTCAAATATTGATACAAATTTGGAGTATGATTCTAAAAGCTTTGCAAAACTGGACGAGTTATTGGGAAGTTTTAATAAATTACTTTCAAAGCTTGGTTCTTCTTCACAGTCTTCAAGTTCTCAAGAGTCCTTTTCTAAGATTTTTTGTTCACTGGAGTCTACTCTCAAGGCTGATTTGGCTCCACTTTTGAAATTGGTTAATTTGATGCCATCTAATGCCTCGCCTGTTCGCATAGGGGTGCAAGGGGGAGAAAAGGGTTTTTATTCAGGTAGTTCAAAAGGTTTTGATACTGGTTCTTCGAAAGATCCTTCTAATGGAAGTTTTTTTAAGATGGTTATGAGTATACATTATACTACTTCACTTCCAACATTCATGACAACTTCTTCAACAACCATGACTTCGTAGCCTATAACAAATGGTATTTTCATTGGTTCATATGCTACTGGATCAATTTCGAAGCCACCTTCATCAACTGAAGAAAATAAAGGAAAAAGAAAGGGAATCTACACTGATCCAACTGAAGAAGAGAAGTATATTACATTGGAAAAGGAGATTGAAAGACATAGGAATATCCAAAGTATGTTAAGACAAAGGGAAGCAGATCCTCCTGGTCTTAGGAAGGGTGATCCAATGAAACCATATTGTTACAAAACTATCGAGCAATTTTTTTCTCTTGGTATCATGCATGATTTTGTCAAAGTCCCAAAGAAAAGCAATGAGATAGAAAAGTGAGACTTTAATCAACTTGCAAGTCAGGAACCGCTCACCAGACCAAGCTACCTCCTTTTTCATACTGGACCATCAATAACTTATCCTCAAATCTTTGCACATCTTCATGGCCCCTGGATTCATAGAAATCCTTGACTTATGCACCTCCTCGAATACCGTCCGTCTCACCACACATGATGTCGGGACCCAAAACCTGCCACACTGAGTTAACAATCCACGACTGTTCTTGACAAACAAGGGAATTTACCCCCTGATCCTCTCAGTCTTCCAATTCTCCTTTTTGAAACCCTCCACCGGACCTGCCTTAAGAAAATATAACTAAGGCAAGATGACAATCATTCTCAAGCAACATCTCTGATAGGAGTACTTGCCTCCTTACAGATCAAAGCATCGACCACCATATTGGCCTTCCCCGGGTGGCACAGGATCTCACAATCATAATCCTTTACCACATTTAGCCATCGCATCGGCCACATACTCAAATTTGGCTGGTCCATCAAATACCTCAAACTCTTTTGTTAAGTGTAGATGGTACACTAGACCCCATAAAAATAAAGTCTCCAAATCATGAGGGCAAAAATCATAGCCCCTAAGTCCAAATCATGTGTGGGGTATTTCGCCTCGTCAGCTTTCAGCTGCCTTGAAGCGTAAGCAATAACATGACCCCTTTGTATATGAACATATCTGAAACCCAAAATAGAGGCGTCACAGTGAAAGACAAACTCATCCAAATCCTCGAGAATTAGGGCCTCACACAACCTATGCCTTAGAGTCTCGAAAGCCAACTACTGATTAAGCCCCAATGAAAGATCACACTCTTCTTTGTCAAGCGGGTCAAAGGCATAAAAATCATGGAAAATCCTTGATAAATCTCTGAGAATACCCCATGAGACCTAAGAAACTTTGAATCTCAGATGCGGTCCTCAGGACATCACAACGCATCATATCATCAATCTTGGTCGGGTCCACCAAGTTTCCCTTCTAGTTGACGACCTGCCCTAGAAACTACACCTTGCACATGTACTACTAACATTTGGATAATATAGCCTAAACACTATCCCTCTTAGGGGTCTCCAACACCTCACACAAATGTTGTTGGTGCTGCTCCTTGGTCTTGGAATATACCAAAATACCATCAATGAAAATAATCATAGACCGATCCAGCATCGACCTATAGACCTGGTTCATGAGATCCGTGAATGCTGCTAGTGTATTGTTACTATGAATATTTTTGGTGCATTCGTGATCCCGAAAGGCATCACCACAAACTCGTAATAACCATAACAAGTCCTAAAGGTTGTCTTTTGTACATCCTCATCTCTAACCCTCATATGGTGGTACTCAGATCGCAAATCAATCTTGGATAACCAGGATGCACCCTAGACCTAATCAAACAACTCATCACCCTTGGAAGTGGGTAACGTATCTTCATTGTTAGCTAGTTCAACTCCTGATAATTAATGTACATCCTATGTGAACTGTCCATATCTTCACAAATAGGATTGGTGCTCCCCACACAAAACTGCTCGAAAAAATAACACCCTTATCTAGAAGCTCCTGTTGTTGCATAGACAACTCTTGCATTTCAGGCAGTGCTAAGCGATACGACGCCTTGGCTATTGGAGCCGCACCAGGTACCAAATCAATTCGAAACTCAACATTCCTTTCATAAGGCACTCCCGACAATTACTCAGGGAAAATTTATGGAAAATGCTGCTTAATGAGTACCCTTCTCAACTCTGTCGTGGCCTAAACCCGCACATCAGGTGTATAAGCTAAGAACCCAAAATAACCCTGCTCCAGATATCTTCTGGCCCTCATAGCTGAACAGAGTGTTATCCCATGTGAAGCTCTCTCACTAGTATTTAAAAGTTCTCCCCCACTCGGGGTTCGGACCATCACCAATTGTCGCTCTCAATCAATTACGACCCCATTAGGGCTGACCAATCAAATCATAACCTTCAACCCTCGAAAGAGCAACGACACTAGATCAATAGACAACCTCTCAATAAACATCTTCAGGACACACCTATAGTAAACACTCGAAGCACTCACGGTACGATTATCTGCAATCTACACCTCTAGAGGGGAATCCAAATTCCCTAGAGCATCTCAAAACTTCTTGATGATCGCAAGAGATAGAAAGGATCGGATAGCCCCCGAATTAAAGAGAACATCAGCAGATAAACCGTTGACCCAAGAGGTCCTTATACAAGCTCAAAATAAACATAAGCATATACAAAGGAAACAATAAAATGTAGTGTTTAAACACATACCAATCACTACATCTAAGCCTACACGAGCTTCATCGGTGGTCAACTAAAAAACCCTGCTCTTCATCCGAGTAGCGTCCGCATTTCCCTGGGGGCCACCGATAATCGTCTATGTGGGTGGTGCAGGCGTCACTACTGCTCTCCTAATCAATATTGGATAATCATCATTTTTAGGGTCATTATACAATCCTAAGCATATACAACTCTTAAATCATACACATAGATATAAATTCTTAGTAATACATGACATCAAATATTATAGAGTTATAAGGGATCACGCCAATCAAACATTCAATCATATGATTCCGAAAGGTATCCTTAGCCCTAATCTAGCATGCAGTTCACATTTCAAGCATACTAATCACAATACATAAGTATAGGTAACCTGGGAGAATACTTACTTGAGCTAGGGCGATTGCACGCATTGTACTCTCACCTTTTACTTAAAACAATCCTTTTCAAAACTTTAATTTCTTTTGTTTTATTTTTCAAATATTTTCATTTCCACAATTTGAGTTTTGACACACCCGAAAGTATGCTCAAATTCATCAAACCAAGGCTTTGATCTCAACCTATAATAGCCAAAAACCAATATAAAATTGTTTTATTTTAAAAACAAGAATTACAATGGACGGAACCATAGTGACGAGTGAATGTTGTGCCATCATATAGGGCCCTTACCCTTAGTAATTTAATTTCATGTGGAATAAAGCATCCCATAATAATAATGTCAAATCATCAGAGTACAATATCAAAAATGCGAAAAATAGTGAGGAGTGAATGTTGTGCCATCATGTCGGGCCCTTCACCTTAGTACCGAAAATACCTAGAACCACAAATATAAATTGTAAGAAAAAGCTTAATGAGTTCCCAAAGTACCACATAACAAACGTAAATAAGATAGTACTATGGACCGAACCATAGTCTTACAAGCAATTTTCTGTCGGGGGTAAATCCTGGTCTTACATATAGTTTCTAGGGACTAGATCCTAGTCTTTCATAGAATTGACAGGGTCTAGATCCTGGTCTTTCAAACAATTTCATGCTAGGGGCCAAATCCTAGTCTTACAGAAAGCTGCCACTCGCTAGATCATGGTCTTTCATTTAATTTCCAGGGGCCAAATACTGGTCTTTCATACATATATCTCAAAAATATAGCTAACAACCTAAATCACAATTAATGGGCCAAACTTGGTACCTTTGAACCATTGATACAGTGAGAAAACTCACCTCAGTCTACTGATAACTACTAACTGCTCGGCTACCGATTTGGAAGATCCCACACTGAACATGCACAAATTACCCTAATCAGAAATAAGTTAACAACTATAACCATGGGCCCAGATCCCAAATCTAAACTCCTAAGATCAGTGCCCATTCAACTTACCCATAATCAGCCTAACCAACCTTTACCCATAACACAATAAAAGGCCCATATCATTCCACTTACGGTCCATCAATAGAAATATGAAGCTCATCTACCCTAAACAGGACAAAGCCCAAAAACTAGCTAAGGCCTAAATGTCTAAGGCCCAACTAAAGTCTAAAAGTCTAGTAAAAGGCGTATGCTCGACATACGCTATCTATGGTCGGCATATGTGTCCGCTTACCAGTAAGCGTTGAGTACCCCTTGGTACGCTCAACATACTAGGCTGCTTACTACCTTAAACTATTTGGTGCTTAATCCTTACATCCACATGAGCCAACTTTTAGAGCTCTACCATTATGGGGTTCTAAGACATACATTTAGCAACTTTATGCCTTAGCATGTTCTAATGGAACCCAACATCCACTTTTGTCCAACAAGGATCACGTTAAGGACTTAATTTCATGGATGGGCTCATACCAATCACCAAGATGACATTTTTATGCATCTAGCACCTTAAAGGGATTGAGATCTAACACATCTAATTTCTAGAGTTGCCCAATCTCAATAAAAGAACCCATGGGACCAAAATAAACTCTTAAAAAGCCCTAAATCATGACAACCAAAAAGAATAATAAAAGTAAGAGAATGACAAGATGAAGTATTTACAATAGCCCTCGTTAGTGACGTAAGAGATATCACTAATATGGAATCAAAAGCCAAATGAGACGCAATAGATGAGGAGTTTGTGTTGGTGAGTTGAAGTAGAGATGGAGAGGTAGTATCGTGAGGAGATTTTGTCTCGAAGGAGGATAGCTTTTCATGATGGATGAGACGTGACTATAAAGGGAGTTGTGACATGATCAAGGAAGAAGTAGAATGGAGGAGAATTGATTGTCATTGACCCAAAAGAAAAAATAGATTCGTCAATGACGACATGTCGGGAGAGAATAATTTTAGTATGAAGATTAAGACACCAATATCCTTTGTGGTTTGTAGGATAGTCAAGAAATATACATTGAGTGGATTCTAGAGAGACTTTGTGAGGAGTGACAATATAAGGAAAGAATAGACACCCAAACACACGTAAGTGAGAGTAAGATGGTTGTTTCAGAAAGTGTCTATGAAACGTAGCGTCACTTTGTAAGGTGATGATGGGAAGGATATTTATTAGGTGTGTTTCCATGTGAAGAGCTTCAACCCCATACTAGGGTGGAAGATGGGCATGAAATAATAGAGTGAACATGACATTGCTTATTGTGTGAAGCATGCATTTAGATTTTATGTTTTGTTGAGAGGTATGAGAGCATGAGAAACATATGTGAATGTCATGTTGCGCAAAAAGAGAATAAAAATCTTTATTG